TTTTGCACTTCTCGACAAATATAATCTGTTTCGTTATTCTAAGTGGTTATTCTTTTTTAGTTAATGAAGAACTTTTTATTCTGAATTCTTGGGTTCAAGAATTCATATATAACTTAAGCGACACGATAAAAGCCCTTTCTATTCTTTTATTAACCGACTTATGTATAGGATTCCATTCACCCCACGGTTGGGAACTAATGATTAGCTCTTTCTACAAGGATTTTGGATTTGCTCATAATGATCAAATTATATCTGGACTTGTTTCCACCTTTCCAGTAATTTTCGATACAATTTTTAAATATTGGATCTTCCGTTATTTAAATCGTGTATCTCCGTCACTTGTAGTGATTTATCATTCAATGAATGACTGAAAAATGATCCACCGATCCAATTAGAATTTTGTTATTTTGTCCATAAGTAAAATAAAATATTCAAAATCTTACTTTTTTTTTTATACACTTATTTTTTCTATACATCCAAGAGATTCGGATTCCTCCTATATTTTAGTATTTTAGTAAAAATTTTTCAGTAACTAGCAGCATCGTGGATAGGGAACTATCCTAGCGACCTACCTAATTTTATTGTAGAAATTTTCTGGATCAACGACTGGACCATGCAAACTAGAAAGACCCTCTCTTGGATAAAGGAAGAGATTACTCGCTCCATTTCCGTATCGCTCATGATATATATAATAACTGGGGCATACATTTCAAATGCATATCCCATTTTTGCACAGCAGGGTTATGAAAATCCGCGCGAAGCAACTGGTCGTATTGTATGCGCGAATTGTCATTTAGCTAATAAGCCCGTGGGTATTGAGGTTCCACAAGCGGTACTTCCTGATACTGTATTTGAAGCAGTTGTTCGAATTCCTTATGATATGCAACTAAAACAAGTTCTTGCTAATGGTAAAAAGGGAGCTTTGAATGTGGGGGCTGTTCTTATTTTACCTGAGGGGTTTGAATTAGCCCCTCCTGATCGTATTTCGCCAGAGATGAAAGAAAAGATAGGTAATCTGTCTTTTCAGAGTTATCGCCCCACTAAAAAAAATATTCTTGTGATAGGTCCCGTTCCTGGTCAAAAATATAGTGAAATCACCTTTCCTATTCTTTCTCCGGACCCTGCTGCTAAGAAGGATGCTCACTTCTTAAAATATCCCATATACGTAGGCGGGAACAGGGGAAGGGGTCAGATTTATCCCGACGGGAGCAAGAGTAACAATACGGTTTATAATGCTACAGCAGCGGGTATAGTAAGCAAAATCATACGAAAAGAAAAAGGGGGGTACGAAATAACTATAACAGATGCGCCAGAGGGGCGTCAAGTGATTGATAGTATCCCCCCAGGACCAGAACTTCTTGTTTCAGAAGGCGAATCCATCAAACTCGATCAACCATTAACAAGTAATCCTAATGTGGGCGGATTTGGTCAGGGAGACGCAGAAATAGTACTTCAAGACCCATTACGTGTCCAAGGCCTTTTGTTCTTCTTGGCATCCGTTATTTTGGCACAAATCTTTTTGGTTCTTAAAAAGAAACAGTTTGAGAAGGTTCAATTGTCCGAAATGAATTTCTAGATTACGAATTTATCAACATCAAGTTCTTATCTTTTCTTAATTTCTTAAAAAGAAAAGAAGAAAATTTTTGTTGGAAATTCTGTATGATAAAAAAAATTGCGAAAAGACTTTTGTTTTGCTTTTGTTTCTATTTTTTTTTATACCAAATTAGGGGAATTACTTGTACCACATTTCTATATTTAGATTTCTATATTTAGTATGTATATTGGTAAGAAGACTATTTGACTTTATCCCCTCTTTTCCAATCTAAATTGGAGTGGTGCGATTATGTCACTATTCACAGATTTAGCTGTGATACAATGTATCCATAGCTTTTTTCTATTCTAATAGAATCAAATTCGACTAAATACTGATACTAAGCATAAGATAACTAAGCGGAAAAGAAAAGGTTAAATGAGGGAAACAAAATATTATAGGGGATATTCTTCTATTTGTCTTTTTATTCTTCGACACAAGCAAAGGAATTTTCCACCCCCCCCCTTTGCTTGTGTCGAAATAATAATGATTCTTAATACCATTCATCAAAGATTCCTATTCTTCAAAGAAAGGAAAATTTTTTGAGCAAATAGAACTTCATATCGGATCGACAGAAAAAAAAAAAAAAATAGAAATAAGAAATATATAATATATATATATATTATATGTGATCCAGGAAAAGAAAATTTAGCAATTCCTTCTTTCTTCTAACAGTATTGATAGATAAGATACTATCGAGGAAAAAATATTCTGAATCAATGAAGTTACTTTTTTACAAGCACCACCCAGAAAAAAGTGTAATGGAATTTTTTGAAATATTTAAAATATCAGAAGAATGTAATTCATAAAATGGAATTCATTTTGTCATTTATACGAATAAAGTATTATGATTATTAAGAACTCAGCAGCGCCCCCTTTTTTCTGTCTGATTCGACGGGGATGCCGTTGAGTTCTTACGCTTTCATGTCTACAACTCAGTTCATCCTATTACTACAGGGATGAACCCAAGCCGGAATAGGAGCCATAAAAGAAAATACCTATTAAACCGATCACAGCAATACCAGTTACAGTACCTATTATCCAAAGAGGAATCCTTCCAGTAGTATCGGCCATTTATCCCACTTCCCTCCACATTTAATCAAGTGGTCCTGCTAGAGACATGAACAGTCATAGATAATTATGTGATGATATCCTTCCGACGAGATAAGAGAATTTCTGCTCTTATTTATTATTCTAATTTCCTTTTTTAATTTTTTAATTAAATATTAATATTAATTAAAGAATATTAATTAAAAGAAATAAATTAAATATTAATTAATATTAATTAAAGAAATAATTAGAAAATAAAACAGCAAGTACAAAAATGAGTAATAACCCCCAGTAAAGACTGGTACGATTCAATTCAACGTTTTGTTCGTTCGGGTTTGATTGTGTCATAGCTTTATAATTAATATTAATTCAGATTAGGTTTATCGTTGGATGAACTGCATTGCTGATATTGACCCCAAAAAAGAAACGGTAGGTACAGCTAGTCCGTGAACAGCAAGCCATCGCACTGTAAAAATTGGATAGGTTCGATCTATAGTCATTGGGCCCTCCTAACTTAAAAAGATTTACTAAATTCATCAAGTTGTTCCAAAGGATCAAAACGGCCAGTTATTAAGGGAATTCCTTGTCGGCTCTCTGTAAAATATTCATTTGGACGAGGGCTTCCAAATACATCATAAGCTAAACCTGTGCTGACGAATAACCAACCTGCAATGAATAGGGAAGGTATAGTAATGCTATGAATGACCCAATATCGAATACTGGTAATAATATCAGCAAAAGAACGTTCTCCTGTGCTTCCAGACATGCGAGCTCCACATATTCTTGTACAGTCAAAAGGGGATCGATTCCGTAAAAGACGAGATCAGTAAATGAAAATTCACTGAAATTCAATCTTTGTGAGATCGTCAATATCGTACCGAGGGTTTCTTTAAAATATACCAAATCAGTATAGCTATCCTTCTTCTGACGCAGCAACGCAACTCCAATCAGTCTCGAAACGAAGTCCTATATAATTTCTTTAGTCTTTTCTTTTTCTTGTCACTGTAGAACCGTGTACCATAGATTAGAGAAAAATGTGAATTTGACGGGTTGTTTTCTAATAATTAATAATAAAAATTCATAAATAAAAATTCATAAAAGAGATTAGCCTATTCCCCGAATTCACAATTCAATTAGATGCGAAATCTAACCCCCTCCCCTTCGTACTTGTAGAATAAGAGTTTTTTGTTGAAATCCTTTTTTTCATTTTAAGGAATTGCTTAGTTGTCCAGAAACAAGTACTGGCAGTAGAGAATATTCGAGAGAACAGCGAAAAAATAATTGTAAGAATCAATATTCTGAATGTGTGTATTCTTGTTCTTGTATTCGATGCAAAAGGTTTTTCTTGATTTTCTTGATACTTAATTAAACTACAAAGAGGTTTTTTTTTTTATTTTTATATGGAAAGAAAAAAAAAGTAAAAGATATTATAAAGAAAAATAGAGGGTTACTTTTCGTTCTAAAATCTAAAAAAAAAAAAAGGATTTGATACAAATAAATAACAAATAAATAAATAAACTAAAAGAAGTGATCAACATAGAAATGATTTTCCAATTTTATTCCGTAGCGATTTCCATAGTGATTTGATTCAAAGACAGTTTCTTTGAATGAAGTTATACAACACAGTTTTTCTAATATATTATTATTTTAATATTTCTTTAATATTTCAATTTAGTTTGTTCTTTTATTTCTCAAGAGTTGTCCAATGAATCTTTTGATTCGGAGATAGGATAGGTAGATTTTTAGATGATGAGTTGATTTCTTTTTCTACTTATATCGCTCTTTTTTTTTTGGAGTGTTGTCTATAATCTATAATGATAATGATTGATAAATGATTAATAAATAAAAAACTTTCAATTGGTATTTTTGCTTATCTTCGTATCTTTAAAAAATTGAATTTAGGAAAGTATTTTACAAATATATGGATAAAAAAAAATAGTTTATTTAGCTCCTTCATGCCCACTCTAACTAGTTATTTTGGTTTTCTGTTAGTAGCTTTAACTATAACTTTAGTTCTATTTATTAGTCTGAGCAAGATACGACTTATTTGAAATTAATTGAATGAACAATTCATAAAAAAAAAAAAAAAGAATTTTTTTTTTTGCAGTATTCCATTTTCTAGTTCCTTACCGTGTCAATTTCCAATTCTTGGTTATTGAGATTTATGGGCAATATGCATTAATATTTAAGGATAGATATTACCTCCTTTTTCCTCTTTTCAAACAAATTGAAATGATTGAAGTTTTTCTATTTGGAATCGTCTTAGGTCTAATTCCTATTACTTTGGCTGGATTATTCGTAACTGCTTATTTACAATACAGACGTGGTGACCAGTTGGATCTTTGATTAATTAATACCCTTTTTTTTGACCTCCTCCTTTTTTTTATCCACAGGAGGTCAAATTAAGATTGATGTTCAAGCTTTTCCCTAAAATTTTTGACTTAACAAAACAAGAATGGAATCACGCTCTGTAGGATTTGAACCTACGACATTGGGTTTTGGAGACCCATGTTCTACCGAACTGAACTAAGAGCGCTTTTTTATTACAAAAAAGAAAGCTGTAAGTAAAAAGATTCTTTTTTTTTTACTCCACTACATCTTGAATGCCTATACTATCTCATATATAAACTATATTATATATAAATATAATAAATAATAATATGATATTCTTTAATATCATATTAATTTATGATTAGGTATGCCCAATTTTAATTGATCTCAATTGATCCCTTGTTATTGTATTGCTCAGAGGCGAAGTAATAAGTAGGGATGACAGGATTTGAACCCGTGACATTTTGTACCCAAAACAAACGCGCTACCAAGCTGCGCTACATCCCTTTCAATTGGTCTACAATGTCATTGTAGAGAATCCCTGTCTTGTTTTCCACATACTTATTTCATTTCATTTTCTCCATTGAGATACATAACTTATCTTGCCATTTCTTCTTTTTTTTTTTTGTCTCATATCATATAACATATAATACATATAATAATAAACTTATATACATATGAAAAAAAAAATAGGAAACCCGCCATAAATTTCGTGAATGCCCAGACGGAAAGAGACGTATTTTGTTCTTTTAAGAAAAGAAGAGGAAAATCTTATCTATCAAATTATTGTACATTTCTCAATTTGAATTAAGAATTCCGCGTACAAAACAAATGCGAGTGTCCTTTAATTTAACTACATATATACATCTGATCATATATGTATTGCCGTTATGTATTACAATAAAGAATACAGAAGGAGGATTTTTTATGCGAGATCTAAAAACATATCTATCCGTAGCGCCAGTAATAAGTACTCTATGGTTCGGGTCTTTAGCAGGTCTATTGATAGAGATCAATCGTTTTTTCCCGGATGCTTTGACATTCCCTTTTTTTTCATTCTAGTTATTAACACAGGGGGGTGAAGAAACTTAGAGACACAATTAAATATCTCTGACTACTACCCCCTTTTTTCTAATTCGAATAAGTTAGAAAAGAGAAAGAATAAAAGTGGATTCAACCTCAGCCAAACACGGAACTGGGTTCAAACTTCAAGTAAATTTACTTTAATTAAATCTTTAATTAAATATTAAATTAAGAGAACAGAAGTGGAAATGCGGTTAGGGCAACAGTATCATACAAGAAGTTGAAATAAAATAGAAAGACTGTACTTCTATTCTAATCTAAACTTCTAATCTAAATATACTTCTAATGTAAATATAATTTTTAATCATTGTATTACTTATTTTTACTATTACTATATTGGCGGCAACAAAATCTTTCATAATTTGATTTCGAGTTAGTAACTTGTATTTTTTCCTTCTTTTCTTCTTCGTTTCGGATAGGAAAATAGAAGAGTTGAGTGAATAAAAACCAAAAGGAGGTTCATGGCCAATGGTAAAGACGTCCGAATAAGGGTTATTTTAGAATGTACCAGTTGTGTTCGAAACAGTGTTAATAAGAAATAAATAGGCATTTCTAGATATATTACTCAAAAGAATCGACACAATAGGCCTAGTCGATTGGAGTTGAGAAAATTCTGTCCCTATTGTTACAAACATACAATTCACGGGGAGATAAAGAAATAGATGGAATTGATCAACTGCGTGTGACTTTTACAAGGAAGATGAAAAATGACATATTGACATATCATATATTAGCATATCATATGTTAATATATATATTTAAATAGAAATAAGCAAAATCCTATTTCTTAATTCGAAATCATTAGCATTTTTGATCCGATCAAAGGAAATAGGATTCTCGAAAAAAGGAATAAAATAAACAAGCCATGGATAAATCCAAGCGACTTTTTCTTAAGCCCAAGCGATCTCTTCGTAGGCGTCTGCCCCCGATTGGATCGGGGGATCGAATTGATTATAGAAACATGAGTTTAATTAGTCGATTTATTAGTGAACAAGGAAAAATATTATCTAGACGGGTGAATAGATTGACTTTAAAACAACAACGATTAATTACCATTGCTATAAAACAAGCTCGTATTTTATCTTCATTACCCTTTCTTAATAATGAAAGACAATTTGAAAAAAAACGAGTTGGTCGCTCGAACTACGGGTCTTAGAACCAGAAAAAAATAGACTTACTCTTTAATTGAATCAAAATTTCAATCCGAACTCAAACGTCGGTTGATGTTTTGTTCGAGAAAAATCCAGGAATACAGATTTGATTGTCGTGTCGTAAAAAAAACGAATTGGGTAAAGTAAATAAAAAAATAAATATTTTTTTATTGAATGTTTTTGTTCAGTTTGACTACTTGATCATATTATGATCATATTTTATCATACTTATTTCTATTCTACCTTCCCGGAATTCATTTTCCAAGTAATTCCATGTCAAAGTCAAACATTCCGAAGGATTCCTTCCAATCTCCTTATTTTATCATGTCATTGGAAATCAGATAAAGGCAATTCCTATTTAATATAGCTAGTTGTGCAAGTATTTTACGATTAAGAAGCAACTGTCTCTTGTACAGATTGTTTATTAACGTACTATAACTATAGGATACTGCATTCTCGCGAATTGCTGCATTTATACGAGTGACCCATAAACACCGAAAATTTCTTTTGTGCCTATCTCTATCCCGATAGGCCGAAAACAAAGCTTTTATTTTTTGTTGAATAATAGTTCGAGTAAGTCTTGAATGAGCCCCACGAAAGCTTGATGTGAATAAACGAATTTTTGTTCTACGCCTCCGAGCTATATATCCTCGTCTAATTCTGGTCATTGAATAAACGAAACTTTGATAAATAACTAATTGATTTCCTTTCTTTCAGTTATTCTTTTTCCCTTTTCTAGAATAACAAAACGGATTCTTCCAATGTATAAAATAATAATTCCAACGGCTTTTGCTACTCTAACCTTCCCAACCACTATTTTTTCTTTTTTTTTTTTTATAAGCATTTCGCCTTGAAATAAGAAATCTTATTGGTACTAGGTATCAAACAAAAATAACAAAAATATAGTAAATAAAAATAAGTAGTAATTAAGTAGTAAATAGAAATGGATAAATAAATAGTGGGTTCCATCGTTTCTATGGTTATTTCTTAAACGGCGAGGTCCTCTCTATACACCGGAGCCCCTTACTTGATCGAATCAATGCTATTGTTAACTTGTACAGTTTACACTTTTTGGCTCTACCCATGAATTCCTCAGTAGTAGGTCTTTCACAACGAGATCCGTTTTTACAGTAACGGTATTTAATTATGTGGATTAGCTGATTAGCTGACCTTGTTAGTCCGTTCTTGCAAGAGTAGAGGCATCCATTTTCGGCTTTTTAATTTAAATAAGATTTGCCCTGCTTAACAGATAATCATTTGCTACCAATGGGGAATTCTTTCGCATTTTCAATTGAAAATTGAGGTAATTGAATTTGCACCAATAGAAACCATAAATTTGATACACAATAGAAGCATATTCTAGATCTTTTTTTTTTCATTTTAGATAGTGAAGGGGAGTCTTCCATTCTATCCTATTCATCGGTACTGATCACGGATAGTGGAAAAATTCTTTCTTTTGTCCCCACCCACAATCTGAAATCTGAACGAGTCGCACATACACCCTAGTACATGTCCCTCGGCGCTGAGGGCATCCCCCGAGAGCGGGGGATTTGGTGACATTTCTGATTGGCTGTCTTGTGTTTCTAATAAGTTGTTTAATAGTTGGCATGTTGAATCGTATGCATAATGGGCTGGTTTAGATCGATCCTAACCGGATGATTATGAATTCTTTCTATATTCATATTCTATTTTAATAAAATATTAAAATAGAATATGAAACCTCGGTAAGAAACTAAAATCTCAAATCGCGATTTGTGTGAAATTCCTGCTATTTTTTATGCAACTGCTACAAGATCAACAATTCCATGAACTTGGGCTTCTGCTGCTGACATAAAAACATCCCTTTCCATGTCTTCAGATACAACCCATAAGGGTTTGCCTGTTCTTTGTGCATAAACCCTTGTGAGGATTTCGCGTAGTTTCAGTAGTTCTTCCGCTTCCAGGACAAATTCTCCTATTTGTGCTTCATAAAAAGCAGCAAAAGGTTGATGGATCATTACCCTGATGATATAAGATAATAAAGGGTTACTTTATCTCGCATAAGAAGGTCACGAGAAGAGATAAAGAATAAAAAAAAAAGATAGAATTGAACAACCGTACAGGCATTGCTTGCGCATTGCATACGGCTCTACAAGAGAATTCACTTTTACCGAAGAAAAATAGAGAGTCTACAAAGCCTAGGTCGGTAAATGATACAATGACCACCCTTTCCTTGGGAGGAATTAAGAAAAACAAAATACTATGGTGGCTCCGTTGCTTTATTTCATCGGTGATTTAGCAATCCCAAAGTTTCTTTTTTTTTTTCAAATAAAAAAAAAAGAAAAAAGAATATAATCTTTTTTTTTTGTCCTCTTTCATAATTCATAATAATATAAATAGCATTAAGAACCTTCTGGTGTGAAAACAAAAAAAAAAAAAGTTTGCGACACTGAAATAGGCTCCCGATAAAATCGGAACTACCCCTAATATCTCATACTACTCTTTCAATATATAATCTAATGTTAAAACGAAATAAAAAAAATTTTTATATTGAATTCGAAATGCCATGCTATTATTACTTAATATTCATATTTCATATGGCGAAGGCATAGTTTTCTTTTTTCTTTCAAATAAAATAAAAACTCATTGGCGCCAAGCGTGAGGGAATGCTAGACGTTTGGTAATTTTTCCTCCGACCAGGATAAAAGATCCCATTGAAGCGGCTAATCCCATGCATACTGTTTGTACATCTGGTCGCACAAATTGCATAGTATCATAAATAGCTATTCCGGGTATTACCCATCCGCCAGGAGAGTTGATAAACAAATACAAATCTTTGATCTCACTTTCTGTACTGAGATATACCATAAGACCGATAAGTTGATTCGAGATCTCACTCTCAATATCTTGACCTAAAAAAAGTAATCTTTCTCGATAAAGTCGGTTGATTAGGATCAAATTCTATCCCTTAGGAACCGTACATGCACCTTTTGATGCATACGGTTCATCAAAAATCGCGAAAAAAAAGAATCAATATGTAGATCCCATTTAACGAATAACGAAGGGGTTTTTCCTCCATTTTTCAAGAAAGATGGTTTTTTTACCCGTTTACCTATAAATAAAAAAAATTCATTAAACTTATCAAACTAACTTCTCATTGATGTATTCTTTCATCGGGATCCAATTCAAATCACGATAACATTCTCTTGTTCCTGAGTGGGCTTCTTTAATTCTTTTAGGTTTGTGCTCTACTCCGAGTAAAGATCTGCCCGATTTGGATTTGCACATATAGGGCAAATGCCCCCAATACCGTGTCTTTTTGCTACAACTTCCTTTTTTTTTCAATTCATTTCACGCCTTCCACAAAATATTTGACGTATTTATCAAATTATTCGATTGATTATGATTAGTAGTTTTAAATTACTCCTATTTCTAATTTATAAAATTTATAAATAGAATATGATACAAATAGTAATCATGGATATAGTACTAATTGGGTTTTTCTAAGCGGAGCCTGGATACTTCATTTTATTGGTCCAAACAAGCTAACCATAAATTATTCTAATTGATAATATTAATCTGAATACCTCCAAAGCATAGATCTAATTGCACTTTATTGCCACTTCACGCTCTAATTTTTGGATGATTTAATCAATCCTTCTTTGGTGAAACAGAGGATATCTCGATCGGGGTAGAGAACGGGGAAATCCCATAATGACCCAATGTCTCTGACAAGTCGCACTATACGTCAATCCAATTTGAACTATCCTCTCCGGGATTTCGAAAAGGGACTTTTGGAACACCAATAGGCATTAAATGAAATAAAAAAAAATGAAGTACTCTATTTCACTTTGATGTGAAAGCGTAACAATGAATTTATTGTCTTAATAATATTATATGAATTTATTGTCTTAATAATATTATATTGGATATTGGCTTTTATTTTATTATTTTTTCTATTTTCTTTATTTTTTTGTTTTATTTTATTTGTTATTTGCGCAGATTCGATAAGTTCATAACATAAAAAAAAAAGAAGACAAAATGAATAAAGTAAAATTCTTACGAATAGGCTCTTTGAATGATGAACAAATCCGTATGCATTCGCTCATCTAAAATGGAGTCAACCTCCCATTGCGTATTGGTACTTATCTGGTATAGAATAGATCTGCTTCTCTTTGTTCCTACAAACAGAATTGTGACATTCTGACTAAAATACTAAAAAAAAAAAAATGGAATCCTTTCTCCGAGATAATCCACTGAAAAAGGGAGGTCCATAACATAGTTTTTTCCAGTGCAATAAAGTTACATAGTGTCTATCTTTCGTTGATAAGGGGGTATTCCATGGGTTTGCCTTGGTATCGTGTTCATACCGTCGTATTGAATGATCCCGGTCGTTTGCTGGCTGTCCATATAATGCATACAGCTTTGGTTGCTGGTTGGGCCGGCTCGATGGCTCTATATGAATTAGCAGTTTTTGATCCTTCTGATCCCGTTCTCGATCCAATGTGGAGACAAGGTATGTTCGTTATACCCTTCATGACTCGTTTAGGAATAACCAATTCATGGGGTGGTTGGAGTATTACAGGAGGAACTATAACGAATCCGGGTATTTGGAGTTATGAAGGTGTGGCTGGGGCGCATATTGTGTTTTCTGGCTTGTGCTTCTTGGCAGCTATCTGGCATTGGGTGTATTGGGATCTAGAAATCTTTTGTGATGAACGTACAGGAAAACCTTCTTTAGATTTGCCCAAGATCTTTGGAATTCATTTATTTCTCTCAGGAGTGGCTTGTTTTGGGTTTGGTGCTTTTCATGTAACAGGATTGTATGGTCCTGGAATATGGGTGTCTGATCCTTATGGGCTAACCGGAAAAGTACAATCTGTAAATCCAGCGTGGGGTGTGGAAGGTTTTGATCCTTTTGTTCCGGGAGGAATAGCCTCTCATCATATTGCAGCAGGGACATTGGGCATATTGGCGGGCCTATTCCATCTTAGTGTCCGCCCGCCCCAACGTCTATACAAAGGATTACGTATGGGAAATATTGAAACCGTGCTTTCCAGTAGTATCGCTGCTGTCTTTTTTGCAGCTTTTGTTGTTGCTGGAACTATGTGGTATGGTTCAGCAACTACCCCCATTGAATTATTTGGTCCCACTCGTTATCAATGGGATCAAGGATACTTCCAGCAAGAAATATATCGAAGAGTTGGTACTGGGCTGGCTGAAAATCAAAGCTTATCCGAAGCTTGGTCTAAAATTCCTGAAAAATTAGCTTTTTATGATTACATCGGAAATAATCCGGCAAAGGGTGGATTGTT